ACGATTTCCGATTTTCGGGGCGATCCGGTTCCTTTTTCACTATTTCCGAGTCGAACCGGGCGAGTCCGGTTCGACTCGGCGTTTTTTTAAAACGTTGGTTTAGATGGTCCATTTTCAAGATTTTCGAGTGTTCATGGATCTGCTCATGAATGTTCCCAAAAAAAAAAAACAAAAGAAGTTTTATAGTAAGAGATGAAAATAAATTTTAAGCCATGTACCCAGAAGCGTTAGAAAGATATTCATATCAGAGCTGGTTAAAGCGGTAAAAATTAGACGGCCCAAAAACTTGCAATCGTGCGATGTATCAAGCACTTCCTACAAACAAATAAAACATAACAATAAATGACAAATATTTTCCAATAATTACTAAATATCCAAAGATTTTTCTTCTAAATAGATGATCTAACTATTTGGAAATTTTTAGATATAAATTTTGTTTTTGTATTTTAAATGTAAATAACTTAGATTTCAATTTTATCCGCTTTCTCTGTTTAGCCAACGCAAATCTCTTTGACTTGATTCTCTCTTTTCTATCTTTTAAAACGTTTTCTTCAATAACCGCTTTCCCGCCAAAGTCAACTAAAAAAAGTAGATTACAAAATTTCGTTTCCCGCCGCATTCAAACTACGAAATTCCGCTACCCCGGTACAATCTCCGCGTGGCATAAACACATTGGAGATGCCCGTAACGTAGTTTTTCAAACCAACGGTAGGATTTGACAGACAAAATCTCTTCCTCAAAAATGGACCGTACATTACGATCATAACAAGAACTGATAATTATTCTAAAACAAGCTCCACCGCAACATTCCCGAAATTTCGGTCGAAATTTGCTAAATTTTCTAGGGGCCAAAAAAATGGGATCCAGCGCGTAGGGTAGGAAGGCTAACACCGAGATTTTGTCATGATAAGAGGGTAATTTCGGAATGCTTGTCTTTGAATTTCAAAAAAAGGTGAAACTGAAAATTATTTTTGAAAAAAAAAAAAGCCTAAAATGGCGCCCACAAAACCTACCGCACTTCTAAATTAGCGGAGCTCACTGCCGCCAAATTACGCTAAAAAAACCTTAAAATCCAGCTATTTTTAAAGGAGGAGCGTGGGACCCCATCGCACGTGTGACCTCTAAGCGTGCGGCATCCAAACGGCTGAGATTGTCGGCTTCACATTATCGAACGGATGGTATTGCTTCTCGCTTTCGACTTCGCCGACAATGAGGTTCATCTGTGGCCGTTGGTTCGTGGAAGAACGGACGGATGAGATCAGCCTCGTTTCCCGCTCTGTGATACTAGTGTTCAGTAGTAGCAGCGCCGCTATAAGTAAGGCCCGCGCGAAGGTTTGTAGACCTTTCGGCTTCTTCGTTTTCGGCGTATTTTTTATGGAAACATAATTTTCGAACCGGAATTTCATTTTCCGGTGTATCAATTTTTGGAAATCAGCGGAGACTTTGGGGAAAATCAGGCGTGGTAGAATTTTATTCTAATTTGTAGAATTTTATTCTAATTTGTTAACTCTGCAAATTTGAGTTCTGTTTATTCTCTGGGGTTTCACCTTTGTATCCAATTTCGAATTTTTTTGCTGCAGCTTACTGTGGTTTCAAATACTATACATCATGGATTTATATTGCCAGGTTTGTATTGTGTGATTGTTTTGTTGAAAATCATTAATTTTTTAGGCCAATTAATTCTCATAGATGCTTGTTTTCTCATTTCAGTGGAAGGTTTCTCAATGATTGATTTTTATTTTATTTTTTTAATTCATGCTTAGTTATTATTCTCAGAAAAGGGAAATTGATCTATAAGACTATAAATGACGTCAAATTTGCAATCTAATACCTCTATTTTTTCATTTTTTTTAATCAGAAGCCGGCCTGGTTAGAGCAATTGATGGAGAGCAAGTTCTTCGCAATTTGTCATGAACATAAGGATCAGAAGAAAAATGAGATGAACTTGTTTTGTTTAACTTGTGTTCGATGCATATGCACACACTGTCAGAAGAGCCATAGCCGCCATAAATTTTTGCAGGTCAGGAGATATGTATACAACGATGTTATACGCTTGCAAGACATGCATAAATACTTGGATTGCTATCAAATTCAGGTCTGTAACATGAATTATTATTTTCATTTAATGTTTTCTTCTTTGTGTTTGCATCTGTTTTTTTGGATTAGATTTCCCGTTGCTCTGTTTCGGTGAATCTGCTTTTCTATTTTTTTATTTTTTTTTTCTGAGTATTAATTGTCTTGATTTAGCAAGCTTTCATTTTTACTAAATCATTTTCACCCAATTTTACTCATTTCACCCTGTTCTGTTTCAAGGCAATCGTCTTGATAATAATATATTGTCTATTTCTTCTCAGATTTGTTTGGCTTGATTTAGCAATCTTTCACTTTTTGGTTTTTTTTTTCTGGATTTATTTTCTATCTTTATCAAGGATTTTCTTCAATTTCGGTTTAGTCTTCTTTTTTCCTTTTTGTGTTTTTTTGTTTATTTAATCTTCTGGGATTTTGATCGCCATTACTTTCCCCATTCCTTCAGTAAACTTTCACCATTCCTTCTGTTTTACTGTGTGGTCTTTTAGGGTGATCATTTGTAATTGAATAATCGTTATCAAAATTACTAATAACTAAGGGGCAATTTTGCGTGAAACCCGTGGTCGTTAGCATGAGTACAAATCCTTTGCAATGATTATGAGCTGTATATCCTTATCATTTTGGAAATGTGTCTTTTACTTTTTCAATAACTTTCTAAATTCAGGGTATATAAGAGCCATAATTTTTGGGAAATTATAGGGGTATTCTTGTCATTTTATGTTGATGATTATTCAAATTGAATTAGGGTTAGCTATCTTTTCTTAAGGTTCTTATCAACACTCCTCCATTTTTGTTAACTCTCAAGCTCATCCTTTAAATTGAGAAATATGTCCTTCATTTTATTGACTTTTAAATCTTGCATTGGAATTAAAAATGATTTTTTTGTAGCAGTGACTTTTGATTGCTTTTGGAATTAAAAGTGATTTTTTGTTGGAGTGAAAAATTGCAGATGGACTAATTGGGTTGAAAACATTCCAGCATCTAATCATGAGGGAGTTTTTTTTGGGAAACCATAGGACTCTATTACTAGCAATTTATATTTAATTTACCGTATTAATTCATAGTTTTATTGATTATGAGTTTATTTTTCTTATTTTCTCAGACTTATAGAATAAATGGTGCAAAAGTAGTTTTCTTGAACGCAAGGCCACAAACGAAGCTGACAAAGGTGCTCCCAAGCAAATGTCGGATGTGTGATAGAGGTTTAAAAGATGGTTACAAATACTGCTCGGTTTCATGCAAGGTTCGTTCTTCTTCTTTAATTTAATGCAGTTTGCACCTATTTGGGTTTTGTTCCCATTTTGAAGTTCTAAAGAAGAAAAGAGTATTCATTTTATTAAATAATGGTCGTTATACATGTTTGTGTTGAATTTGAGTGGTTTCTTTCAAGTTATAATTGTTATTTGCATGCACAGAAATCCATGTTGTATGCTCTCTCTCTTTCACTCCTCTAAGACATTTTAGTTTTGGAAATGTTAATATAAGGTGTAATTCGTAAGGTGAACCTAAAAACCCATTTGTGAAGGTTATTTGTATGTCAAAAATTCTCAAATTTATAATCTCAAGATTCATAGACATTAAAAAGGGGGAATTTTTCTGCAGTTCATCTTTTATGTTTATTTTCAAGATTTTTAAGTATTTATAGATTTATTTAACTGCCATTATTTTTAAAACTCTATATTTCATAATTGGAGGCAACAACATATGTTTATATCATCACAAGGCTTAGGGCACAAATATGCTTATATCATCGCAAGGCTTTGCGGTGCTGAAAGTGCATTTTGGGCATAGTTTTGAGATGCACCTTACTTCAATAGTATAAAGATACACCTTAAACCAGGCTCAACCTTTAGTTTTTGCGCCGTAACTTACTTCAATAAGGATGACACCTTATACAAGGCTCACCCTTTGGTTTTTGCACCGTATAGTCAAACTCTTACTGACATCACCTAGTTTATTCACTTATTGCGAGTGGGGGCAGTTGAGCTGTTGTCGAGGTGGTGTTGGTGGTCTAGAGAGAGAAAAAAGGGTAGTGGTGGTGGTCTAGTCAATTCTTCGAATAGTAAAGTAAATGTGAAGAGAGAGAGACAGAGATGAAAGCTTGTAGCTTTTTCACTTTTCTGTTTTTTTAACTCACTTTGTCAATGTCTTAAATTTTTTCCACCCAAATGGATGATTGAAAGGGATATCGGTCTTTATTTAAGTGATATTAAGGCCAAGAGAGAGAGAGAGCATGGTGATTTGATGGAATTAAGCGAGAATGAGAGTGTGAAGACAGAATTGACAGAGAGAGAGAGAGAGAGTTTGATAAAATTTACAGATGGCATGACAAAATGGTCTAAATTCTCACTCTAGAAGTGTAGCTCTTTTAACATTCTTTATTGCTCTTTACCCGTGATTTCATAAGGGGTGGCAATGGGGATTGGGACCTGTCGGTAGACCCGACAAGGTTCCGGGCGTGGGTCTAATATTTGGGTTTGGTTGATTGGTTTTGGGTTCAAAACCTGGACCCAAATACTATTTGGGTCTTTATTTGGTGTATTAATGATCAAATACAATAAGAATTTGTAGGCATTTTTAAATGATTAATCTGACGATTTGAAATTTAAAGGCTGATAATTGTGGCTTTGTTGCCAATAATATGGGTATATGAAGGTGATAATAGACCCGACCATACCAGGGACCCGACTCGATAAACCTGTGAACCAATGGGTACGGGTATGTTTCCAACTTTTGGACCCAAATGGTTGGGTCCAACTCCAAAACCTGAACCTAAATACTGTTGGGGTTTGGGTAATATTATTCGGGTCTGGGTTTGGGTTTAGCCTGACCCGACCCATACACAACCCGTTGCCACCCGTAGAATCCATGTATTTTGTTTTGACATAATTGAGAGAGAGCGTAAGAGATGATAGTTTGAGAGAGTCAATAGAGGGCATGAATGTATCATGATTTGTCTTCTATCAAGTTTGTTGGCCCATCCAAAATTGTCTAAATTCTCACCATTGATGTGTAGGTTTTTTACAGTCTTTATTACATTCTACCTCTGTGAATTTATGCTTTTTCTTTTCACTGTTGCTAAAAAATCTACAGGTTAAAGACGTAGATGCGAACAAAGGGTCCAATGCACTATGCAAGTGGTTACCGTTGCCTGAATTCATATCCTTTCCTGGAAAAGATGACGGTTCCGAAGGCAAAGAGGATGTTTCAGGCATAAGTAGCTGTAGTCAAGATGAAGAAGAACCAGAAGAAGAGGAGGAGTTAACTGGATCAATAGAAGAGGAAGCTTTTGATGCCAATCCTCAATGGCTTCTCCCTGTCTTGAAACCAAAGAGAAAGCTACACAAAAGGAAAGGCATCCCTAGAAGATCTCCTGTCTATTGAGAGCTCATGGACCCATCTCTCACAACTTGGTCTCATTTTGGTTTTTCCACCTTTATTTGCAATTAAATTAAATTTTAGACGCCTCAGTTTTGTACAGATATCAGATACACAGATGGGTTGATTATTTGTTGGTTGGGGGTTTTCCTTTTATCGGATATTATTAAATTGTAATAAGAATAATATTTAATGGAAACTTTGCTTGTCATGTTTCTTTTCCTTTTGGATATTCTTTCTGTCCTCACCTAACTAGACCCCCCTGTTTTTTTTTAGAGATAAAAATGGATTTTCAAGCCATCATAAGAATTGTTTAATACAAAATTACGTCCTTTTGATAAAATTCAAAGGTGTGCCGTACTGTGATTGTTTAATATTGCAATCTTATACAAACCTCACCTATATAAAGATTTTTTTTATATCATTTTTTTTTTTTGTAGTATTTATAAGTTCTTGTGAAGTTCACATTTTCCCCAATCTTTTTCATTTTTCCCTTACCCGCACTTTGGAATTGCCAAAGGGTGGATCTTTTTCATTTTTCCATTACTCGCACTCTGGATTTGCCACAGGGTGGGTCAAAGAGGGCCAGCGAAGTAGGAAAAGGAAAAGAAGTGAATAGGCATTAGAAGAGGTTAAGTGCCAATTTGAAGGCATTTTTGGAATAATAATATAAAAGGGTAAAAAACATAATTTAGAGATGTAAAAAATTAATATACATTTTATAACAAAGAATTGGCACTTAATCTTGCCTTATAGTCTATGTATAAAGAATGAAGAATATACCAAAGAATTACTCATGTCAATATTTGTTGGAAATGTCTCATGCGAACTGGACTGCATGACTATATATAGGGTCCAAACTTTTGTCTCATGCGAACTATATTGCATTACCATATATAGGGTCCAAAAAGTGTGGATGCAAGTAGGTGTTCTGTCCAAAAACAATGGAAACTAATGGTTCGAATGTTTTTTTATTAGAATTATTATTTTTAGTTTTTAAAATTATTTATTTTTTTCATATTCATGATCTCCATATTAAAGATTATATGTCCTTAAATATTGAGTCCAAAAATACATCTCAAAAATATATTTATTAATAAACCTGTTTTTTTAACATATAGATTCATAGGTTCGTATTTCAACATATGTAGGCCTGGCAGCATAGAAACCAGGTCCATATTTGATTTCAATGATCAGAAAAGGAAGTTAGCGGACAACCATAAACTATACTATAGTCTTATGGACGACAGTTGTAATGTTGTAGGGTGAGCAAAAAGGAAAAAGAGATCATTTAATTTTTGTACAAGGTAGTCATCATCATTCTTGTTCTTTAAAATTCAAATTGGGTGATTTATAGGAGTGTCTTGTATGGATTTAAAGTTCAAAATTTTTTCTCAAACTCCATCATTTATCTTAAACCATCCAATTTGACATCTATTTATTAAGAGTAATTGTCACACCTAAAAGTAAATGATCTCTCCACGTCATTGGGATGATCCAAATACAAAATGGTGTGTACAATACACCATGGTGCATTGCTTTATATGTAGTCATGTGGCTTAAGAAGCACGCCATGCATCAGTCTGACCTACCCAAAACAGGCGTATTTTATATTGTCATTTCATCATTTTTGTTGGTGGTTACCATAGAAATCGTTATTATTTATTTTATGTCATTTATGATGTATATTTGAGTGGTCCCGGGACAATTTAAGGATGCCAAAAGATTTCAATAAAAAAAAAATCCTAATTGAGTTTCCTATGTAGGCTCGAAGCAAACATAGTGCCTCGATACTTAATAGAAACCGTCCAATTAATCCCCGAAAATCCCCGAAAAAAAAGAAACTCTTGAATTTTTGAAGGGTGAGATATAAGTGTCAAAAAAGTCATTCAAATTCTTTTTCTTTTGAATATAATCATCTAGTGATTTTTATGTACTTCAAAAAATTTGGATAAAAAAAATCCTCCCAAGTTAGTACTCTACCCAAGGAGTAAGTGTCCAGTTTATGCCACTGCAGGTGCATAGCATACACGCTCAAAAGGAAATTGTGATTCTCATAACCACATCGGAATTCCATGTGGCCATGAGATTCATCTCTCTAGCAACGCAACGGGCCAAGCAGCCCGGCCCTAAAAATGTAAGGTCTAGGCTACAAACTGTAGATTGAGTGTAGGGCTTCGGGCCTCTTTTTCATTCTTGTTTTTCTCAATTATTTTTTCCTCATTTGTTTTTGGAGCGGCCCAGAGCCCATAGAGGGCAAGGGCCAGCCCAGGTCATTGCCATCCATGTGGATTATAATCGAGCCAGGTCCCATTGAAGAATGACTAGAATTGGAACTTGGGTCCCACTCTCCACACCATTCAACTCATTGATTTGATGGTGACGGCCAATCATGACCATATATTCCAAGTGGTCCTGAGGATTAGAGCATCCAGCATACGAATACTTTTATTGGGTATTTTTTAGGCTTTTGATTTAATTGAGGTATTTGTGTGTATGAGGCCCGTAACGTAAGAGACGTGTTACATTCATAGCTGTCGCTATTTGTCGTTTTGTTGTTTGCATCATAATAATAATTTCACATGATTTGGTTGTTTTCTCGTAGTTTCCGTTCTGCCGAACGTTCTGTTCCGTTTCCTTGTCCTCTTCTGTGGACTTTTAGTGAGAGAGAGATGATAAGAGAGAGGGGAGAGTTGAGCTTTTTCTTTAGACTTAGTGAGAGAGAGTTTTAGTGGCGGACAACATGCTTTTCTTAGTAGCACTCAGTGCTCGGGACTCTAAAACACCCCTTTATACTTGGAAACTAAATAGTGTTGATGGCTCTCATTGAAATATAAGTAGAGATGAAGGGTAAGATGGATATCTATGGTTACATTGTCTTTTTTATAATCATTCAATGTATTTTTTTAAAAAAAAGTTTATATAATCAACCTTATAATGTAGAATCACATATGCACCTCACAAATCTATCGAAAATATTGTTTTATGTTGAAAAAACATTTTAATCGATCATCTCGACATCAAGATATATGTATATGAAAAAAAAAAAGTAGTTTTTGAATCCCAAAAATAGTGTATTTTGCAACACATTGTCAAGACCTTCAATTTTTAAGATTTTCATATGTTTATAGATCTACTTGATTTTAACCATTTTTGGAATTTAAAATTTTCTAATTTGGTATGAAAATAGATTTGAAGATAATACTAAAGAGTTTTTACAACAAAATTACATATTATGATAAAATTTTAAGGTGCGCATTAATTTGATTGTTTAAGGTTGCAACCTTGTAGAAACCGCACCCTTTTTTTAATGGTTTATACTTGTAATATGTAATTTTGGATATTAGTTGTAGAATGGAGATATGTTATCCATATTTTTTTACTATATAATTGGCAAAGATTTATAATGGAGATATGTCTTTAGGGAAAGTATATAATGAGACCACTTATCTTTGGTATAAGGTGATTAGAATTAATCATGACCATTGGATGTGAAATTGGGTGGCTGCATTTATTTCATTGACCAAGCTCAAAGTTCAAAAGAAATTTTCTTGAACTTTATGACACACCCAAGTTATTAGATTTCACGTTGGATGGTTGTAAGTAATTGTGTCCTCCTGCACCAAAGGTAAATGACGTTATTGTATGCATTCCCATGTCTTTATCCATAGGAAAATTGTTTCACTCGGTATTGCATTTATACATTTATGGTGGTTGAGGTATACGTCATCCATTTTAAAGATGAATGCAAATAGGTGGTCTATTTAAAAATAATTGAAACTAACGGTCCAAATGGTTTCTTAATAGAATTATTATTTTCAATTTTCAAAATTTATTTATTTATTCATATTCATGATGTCCATGTTAGAGATTACATGCCCTAAAAAATTAGGTCAAAAAATACATCTCAAATATAGATTTTTAACAGGTGACTCATTTTTACATAGACTTATGGAAACCGTGTCCTTATCCATAAATAGGCAAAAAAAAAAAAATTTGGTACATTTAGTGGGCACAACTTCACTTGACTCGATATATGATTGTCTATACTTTGAAGCTTGTACTCCACAAAGAACTTAAACTAAACTAAGATATATTAATGATGCTCATAGTAATTGCTCATTATGAAAATACCAGAACTCTCAATAAGAAAATACGAGTGTTGTTTTTACTTTTTATATATTTATTTGATGCTTATCGTAAAAGTGTCTTCCCCTATTAAGGTGTACACTTTAAGATAAGGACGTTCTAATTAAATTAGTAAATTACTAATGCAATCCATTATGATGATTAAACAAAAAAAAGCCGACCCATTATTTATATATATATAGAGAGGGTTTATTTCTTTATTTGTTTTTTTTTTGGCTTCAGAGGTGGGAATTGAATTTGGGATGGATGTAGTATTGCTAACATCAACCTACTAACCACTCAAAGTTCAAAACCCAATTCTTAAAAATCTAGCTCAAACCTAATTTCTGAAAATTTAGGTTTTCAATCTCTTTTTTTTTTGGTGTAATTCAGTGGGGAAAGAAAGTCCCTTGCCCGTGATAAAAATAAACTAAAAAGATCATAGTATGGCGCCTGACCACCTAGCCTTAAGCCCATTCTTTATTCCTTAATTTTTTTCCCGAATAATATCTTACCCTTTTTTTCTTTTTAATGTTTAACTTAATATCGGTGGAATTGGAACTTATGTTGCTTTGCCTACCTTGACCAGCATAGGCCAAGAGACATGTTCTCTTTTATTCATTTTTGTATTGTTTTTATTTTTGTGACATGGCACATACAACAGTATTTGAAATTTTTTTTTTTTTCTTCTTAAATTATTAGTTTGGCGTATATACGTTTGAGGGGGTTTTGGCCATGGACTCTCCTTAAACCCATTCTAATTTAAGTTTACACAGAAGACGAGATGAATATAAAAAAAAATCAGCGAAATTTGAATTAGTCCTGAACAGGGGTTGAGAACTTGGGCATGAACTCGGCGTTTGCCCAAGTCGAGTAACTCTATTCGTATTGTAGGAAAAGGATCCGGTTTTTATGTGGCCAAGCCCGTATAGGTAGAAAAGTGGATCTCTTAATAAATTTATTTTTGAGTTGAATTTTAAGGTTTACTTTTTAAAGACATATAATCTCTAACATGGAGATCATGAATATATATATATATAAAATAAAAATTT